AACTGGTATTTAAATGATATCTGTTTGCTCTGCCACATGTGGGAACTCACAGAAAAATTTACCCCATAAAAGCCGAACAAAACTACCACTGAATGAGCAATTATTAGCAATATGTAAAGCTAGTGTTTTTCAGCCAATGATGAACTTCTGGTGAAAGGTTTATGTGACTATTTTCAGATTCATAATAATTCAAATAGAATCAGTTAAACAGACAGAACCCACAGAGCAAAATATCTTTAGCCCACACAATCAGCTTTTGCTTGGCCCACATGCCGCAGTGAATGGTACATGACTAGATCAAGTCTCACATCCAGACAAGGGCTAAACATGGACCATATCTGGGCCAAGTCTCAGCCAAGTTAATAGCTGAGCCTGAACTAGGCCAGATATGTTGGTGTGTCACGACTGCAATAAAAAATTGATAAACCCATTAATCACTGCACTTTAGGTGTGCTGTGGGTGTGCTTTTTCTCAAAGTGACCTGATTGGTAGATTTTTTTTTCTTTATTCGAAAATAATAAAAAGTATTTTAAAAGTGGGTCAGGATAGGCCAAACTTACAGGGCCCACATATCAATTAATAACATTTGGGCCAAATATTACAATTTTCATCTGGCCCAAATATTGTGTGCCGCCTTAAAGACGGTGCCACCTCTGCCAATGGGCCATGTTTAGCCCACATGCTGTATACCAGTGCTGGATAAATACCTGCTGTGTCAGATTTATGCCAAATCTGGGCCAGAATTCTTTGCTACCTGGGAAGCATCCATTTGGTTTTTAAAGCATAAAAAAAACCCAAAAGACTTTAAACGCGGCACCGTCATTAGCAGCAGGCTAGTGCAGAAACTCCATTGAGAATACAGGGGTAAAATTAATTTTTCATATTTTAAAGACTTCCCAGACATGGATTGTGGCTGGAAGGGCATCCGCTGCGTAAAAACGTGCTGAATAAGTTGGCGGTTCATTCCGCTGTGGCGACCCCGGATTAATAAAGGGACTAAGCCAAAAAGAAAATGTGTGAATATTTTAAAGAAAAATATAACTTAATGCAGTGCTTCTTGTTTGGTCTGATATCCACTTTATATCATAACTCAGCCAGGCAGGGAAGATTAATGTTTTTTTTAAAGAAATCAGATCTTAAATGCAGAGATTTTGTATGGGATGACAATTCACCGGAAACTCTGGGGCTGGAGGACTGAAAGTAAGAGTCTGTGTGCATATACCCCATTACAGTCATATAGAGTCATTGTTAGATGTGAATCCATGAGAAAGCAAAAGAAGCTCTTCAAACAAAAGTGTTTAAGACACTTCATGGATGCTTTTTTTGTTGTTGATACACTTAAGCTATCAAACTATAAACGCAGTCTAGTAGAATTACAATAAGGCTTTTTTTTATACCAGCACATCAGTATGCTAATGTGCTAACATTGTTTGGTGATACATCTCATATATATTACTTAAGTTTTTTTAAATATACATTTAGATGTAAAGATTTACATACAGGTTGTGTACTGCATTATAAAGAGACAGCTTGTAATGTTTTTGTCTAAGGTGATCTCACAAAACTATTTTGAACACATTGTAACTTTTCGTGTTTACCCTGTTTATTACGACACAATGTAACAATTTACTGTATAAGACCTGTTTTGAACAGCACAGACTAAATCCAGGATTTTTCTGTGTAGATTTTTGTCCCAGATTTCCATCATTGCCATCAGGTCTAGACAGAAGCTCCACAGTCTCAGTTGTATATGACATAAACTCTCTGCCACGGTTGATTAAAGTAAAGGCACGATTCAACAGCCTCCCCTGGCGGATGCTGCTATTCATACGCAACGAGAATAAGCAATCGAGGTGAGCTTTCAGCCTTTGGGAGTCCGAATCGTTTTAGTGAATCGATTCACTCGGATAACTCACTGCAATGAACTAATTCTGAACAAACTGACACGTTATGCAAATCCAATTGAAAAAAATAAACACAAACTAATCTTTAGTGGTCTGTGTAATCGCGTGAATGTCTCAAATATGTGTAGCTCATAATCACATTACATCACACATGAGATATTTGGTGTACATCAGATCCCGAATGGAGTCATCATTATCGACTCTAATGAATCAACCCTTTGCGAATTGGTTTGAACGACTCATTGAAAGGAACCCGGAATCTTCTGGGCTAAAGAGGACACAAATTACAAGTTGTATGTTTTTAAGACACATTTAATACGACGAGTATCAAAATAGTCCAAAACGTAATAAGCCAGAAACGTAACTTAAACGGGAAACATCAAGTGGACATGATTCTAGCTGAGGATAACAATGTTTTGTATCCCGCATCAGTCTTATATACTAAAACCAACGACCCATTGTGCTAATAAAAACCTAAACAATCATGGATAGCTGAGTGTTTTAATTAATAATTACCCGAAACCCCTATAAGCGGTTTGTGATGCGGGAATCATTCGATGATTTATGAGTTTCCATCCGCTTTACTTGACTCTTGTTGATGTCAGGAATTTAATTAGGGAAACAATGTCCTCACAGCGCAGGCGCGGTGGCCAAGTGGTAAGGCGTCGGTCTCGTAAACCGAAGATCGCGGGTTCGAACCCCGTCCGTGCCTTTTAATCCACAACATTTCTATAAAACATAAAATGTGTGGAGGTAGTGAGCAATATATGAAAATCAACGTCATGATGATCCATCTGCTGGTTTACCTCACGATCTTGTGAACAACAATCAAAAAATGGTATGTACAAACAGGGGTTATGTTGAAGTTACTAAATAAATTACAATAAATCTCATGGATCAACAGCCTACATGTGATTATCATTGCTCGACAATAATGCAGTAATGCGATTACCTCTACAAATTATGACAATGCAAAGTTTGAATCTCCTCAGCTATATGCTAATGCTACAAAAAACAAACAAAATTGACACAAAAATTACACTCAATGTATGTGTAAATAAATCATGGCCACAAATTACAATTTTTGCTCTCTCGTTTAAGTAAATTATACGGTCATTAATGTAGCCTACCATTTGTTTACTCATTTTAGTTCATCTGTGGGCATGAATGAAGAATTTTTAACTACAAGTTAGTTTGTTCCTTCACTATTCAATCATGACAGCGACATGTTGGACGCTGTGATCTGAGCAGTGTTTTTGTTGTGAGTTTGGTCATAATGGAGGAATGCAGAACGGTGGACAAAGAGACTAAATGACCAACAACAACTCGTATGACATATCATCGACGCTGAGCAAAAACACAATGACAGTTGGTGGCAGAGCCTCAATGATGCTAGCATCTGTTTTTCTGAATATGTCCTGTAAAACTGTCAAGTACGGGGCAGGTGTTTTGCATGTCACATATTCACCCAATCCTATTGCTTTTGATACCTGAAGGGGTTTCTGTTATGCAGAGTCAGGCCTTGGTAAATGAGATAATTCAGTTCCCCCAAGAACTAGAAGATTCCTAGTTCCGATGGCGCAAACACACACACAAAAAAAAATGTAAGCTACTTTTGCCTATAGTTAGGACTAAACAGTCAATGTTAAATAAAAAAAAAAACACTTGTAGTTCTGTTACGTTAAATTATATATAAAAAATAAACGACTATATAATTTAAACGTGTTTAAAAATCTTAACATTAATAATAACTAATAGTTGTTAACAATCAAGATTAGGCTGTATATTAATCTACATAGAGGTTACATGGTGGCTTAGTGGTTAGCACTGACTGTCATTTTACTGCAAGAACGTCACTGGATCAAGCTATAGTTGGCATTTATGTGTGGAGTTTGCATGTTCTCCCTGTGTTTGTGTGGGATTCCTCGTGGTGCTCAGGTTTCCCCCAGTCCAAAGACATGCGCTATAAGTGAATTGAATAAACTAAATTGGCCGTAGTGTATGTGTATGGATGTTTCCCAGTACCAGGTTGCAGCTGGAAGGGTATCTGCTTAGTAAATCATATGCAGAATAAGTTGGCGGTTCATTCCGCTGTGGCAACCCCTGATGAATAAAGGGACTAAGCCAAAAATAAAATGATTTAATGAAATTGGCTGTAGTGTATGTGTGTGGATGTTTTCCAGTACTGGGTTACAGCTGAAAGGACATCCGCTGTGTAAAACATATGCTGGATAAGTTGGCGGTTCATTCCGCTGTGGCAACCCCTGATGAATAAAGGGACTAAGCCGAAAATGAATGAATGAATGATACTGGCCGTAGTGTATGTGTGTGAATGTATTTCCAGTACTGGGTCGCAGTTGAAAGGGCATCCGCTGCGTAAAACATATGCTGGATGAGTTGGCGGTTCATTCTGCTGGTGACCCCTAATAAATAAAGGCAATAAGCCAAAAAGAGAATGAATGAATGAATAAAATTATCAGTAGTGTATGAGTTAGCAGTGCATTCTGCTGTGGAAACCCTTGATGAATAAAGGGAAGTTGAAACTGAAGGAGAATGAATGAATTAATTAATCTACAAACTAGATACTACATAATCAACCTCGCACTTTGTCTGAGAAACCCGGAAGAGTGGTTGTCGTCACTGTCAGTGTGACGTCACTGACTTTTAATACATCCCAAAGAAGGCACTACTACAATTTCAGCAACAGAGGGCGACATAGAGCAACAAATCTGTGCCGTAATCCTACAGGTTTGATTGCAGATTAATAAATCACATATTTTCATACATTTAAAAACGCTCGTATGTCTGGCTCCTGACATTTTCGTGTAAGCATCACTCATACACAACTATGTATAATATATGCTTAAATACATAATAGAAATAAGTGTTGTCTTCACATTTAGCTAACATGACATTACGCAAGTAAATGAATGAAAACTATGACTAAAATCTATAAGAGGAAAATAAAAAGGCTGCAAAGTAAACTCGGTCATATAACCACTCTGGGGTTTCTAAGAACGTCCCTTCCTAGTTTCTAAATTTGGAAATGACTTCTAGGAAAAGAGAAACTGCCAGCTCCATATGTTTTATCTTCCACGTGTTTAGACGTCGCTCCCTTTTAAAGCAAAAGGAAAAAAGGCAGCGAGTCAGAGTAGATATTTACATACTGACACCCATTGAAGATCATTAATAGACTAAATGGTGAGTGTCGGCGGCTCGGGGTTTTGCGCACAATTGGCGTGCGCTGCTGAAAATGGCATCTCCCCCATGCGCGGCCCCTGCTTTACCTAGTAGCGTGACCATGAAGCAATGCACGAGCAGAGAGATCTTAACATGCACAGAGTCAGTCTGGCTCCTCGAGACGCCTGCTCATCTCGCCAGCAGGAGCACGTACGGCGTGCACTTAAAGAAGACAACATCTGATTCAAGCCGGCCAGATGTTTCATTCCGTCGCGCTGCGCTTTATTCGTGGCGAGGTAAGTTTCCAGATATGTTACATGGATGTGCGCGCGTTTTCAGCGGCAGGTGTGATCGGAATCGGGGCAGCGGGTAGAATACTTATAAATTCCATTGATGATGTCATAATAGGCATTCTGCTTAGCCGTTACAATGGGGGAATTGGCGTTCGAATGGAAAAGGAGAATAGCGGATAGAGATCGCCAACGTGATGTGCGTTCTTTTAAAGCAACAGCCTGATGTTTTAGTCGCATATTGCTGCTTTTGGCGGGTATTGCTCGCAGACAGAGGCAGACAGATTGTGTCTGAGAGAGTACCTGAACTCTCTGGGGAGTCGAACACACTGTCTGGGACTCAATTGACGCCCGGCTGTCTCTCTTAACACAAAGATCTTGATGGAGCTTTAGAAAGCCTTCATGCTTGAAAACAGGTGAAGTTCGATTGATTTTGTAGCCGGTTTAATTATGTGTGTGATTTTTTTTTTCCTTCACTTGGTGCCATTACCGGAGAAGGTCACTATTGCTTTGATTAGTGGTCAAATATTTTAGAGAAAGACATTGGACATGCGTGGTGTTTGTCATGTTCAAGTTTATTTGTGTCACGCGTTCCGCAATATAGGCTACGGCGTTTGATAGAGGCAGACCAGATATATTCTGTTCCTCTTTTAATTCATTGATTGTAAATTGACCTACATTTAGTTTTCCCCACTGAATTAGGGTAAAATTTAGTCTGGACAAAGAGCCGGATTGAGTCAGAAATATCCTTGAAAGTGGCCATACTTAAGAGATTACAAAAGAAAGTTTATTGAGAACTAGAACCAAAAATGGATTTTGATATGTCTTTAATACTTACTGACTTATTGGCATGTCAACTCGGGAAAATATTTTTTTTAAATAACACCCAGGTATGCAGTTTTTAAAAAAGAAGGAAATGGGATACAGTACAATTCTGATTTCAACTATATATATATATATATATATATATATATATATATATATATATATATATATATATATATATATATATATATATATATATACAGTTTAAATCAGAATTATTAAACACTCTTTGAATTCTTTTAAAAATACTTCCCAAATGATGTTTAACAAAGCAAGAAAGTTTTCACAGTATGTCTAATAAAATTTTTTTCTTCTGGGGAAAGTGTTATTTGTTTTATTTAAGCTAGAATAAAATCAGTTTTACATTTTTAAAAAACAATTTTAAGGTCAAAATTATTAGTCCCATTAAGCTGTAGATAGTCTACAGAAAAAAAAACATCTTTTTACAACGACTTGCCTAATTACCGTAACCTGCCTAGTTATCCTAATCACTGTTCAGTTATCCTAACCCAGTTAAGCCTTTAAAAGTCACTGTTAAGCTGTATAGAAGTGTTTTGAAAAATATCTAGTCAAATATTAATTACTGTCATCATGGCAAAGAAAAAATAAATCAGTTATTAAAACTGTTATGTTTAGAAATGTGTTAAAATTTTTTTTCCCCTCCGTTAAACAGAAATTGGGAGAAAAATGAACAGGTGGTTAATAATTCTGACTTCAACTGTACATATGTATAAATATATAAAGAGTTCAGATGTAAAAACCTCTAAATGCCATTTGAAATGTTCTTCTAACATGAGCATTTTTATAAGGCTCCTATGTGTAGGTTCAGTAATTTCACTTTTATGGCAAAAGATAAGTTCTTTTTATGATTTTTAAAGTGAAATAAATCCACATAAACTAAGGAGACTGAGAAAAATGTTCGTTTGCCACTGAAATTTCCGACGGCACTTAGAGGTTTTTGCATCTGAACTCTTCAAACATATATACTTTTGTTTTTGTTTAACAATTTGAAATCCATTACGATTCCTGGTAATGATGATCCATAAAGACCCTAAAAAACTGCCAAAAGAAAGTTTGTGAAGAAAAACAAATCAAAAACGATATTAGGAAATATATATATATATATATATATATATATATATATATATATATATATATATATATATATATATATATATATATATATATATATATTAGGGCTGCACGATATTGGAAAAAAATTGGACAATGCAATATTTCATTTTTCTGCTATATATATTGTGATATACTGTATCTAAATGACTTCATCAAATGATTGAACAGCACTATTTGAAGGAATTATAGTCGTACTTTATTTCAGGTTCAGTTCTCGGTATTAGCAAACCATTACCTATAACTTTTGCTTCAGTAAAATCATAATTGGCTCCTTATAAGATATTAAGGTAGTTTAGGTATTGGGTTAGCTTTGTAGAATAAGATCATACAGAACATGTACTTAATAAGTATCATTAAGCAGCCAATATCTCAATAACATGCTTGTTAGTAAGCAATAATGAGATTAGGTGCCTAAAATGTTATCAAATTAGTTAATTTAGATTAATTGGGATGGTTCTTTAAGGCATAAAGATGTCTTGCGGATGTGTACTTTGCAATATCGAAGCTGAAATGCTATATTGTGCATCCCTAATATATATATATATATATATATATATATATATATATATATATATATATATATATATATATATATATATATATATATATATATAGGGACCCATCTGTAAGAAAATAAGTGATGTGGTTAGTCTTTGTCATCAGCTATAGGTCCACTGAAGCTGATACTATGGTATGGAGTATAGTATATATTAGGCATGGGCCGGTGTAAGATAACCTTGCATAAAAATATCACGGTTTTACAGTGTTACAGTTTTAAGGTATTGTGATTACTGCTCTAAAATATATTCTTTTTAAATGTCTGGGTTAAAAACAACAACCTTTTTTTCCCTCTTTGAACAAAAAAAATTATGTTTTATATGAAACATTTATATTATATTTTGGAGCAGTAAACATGTCAGGCTGAATAATTCAAATAAATGATTGACTTCTGCTCTCTTCATTATTTTTAAAAACACTGATTTCATTACAATTTAAAATGGCATTTTTGTATATCTTTTCTGCTGGAGATGCTGCTGTGCTGAAACCAAAAAAAAAGTAAATAAAAAAATCTTACACATACCATTGGAACAGTATAGCCGAAAATTTCGCTGGTTTTAAAAAATTTACTTTTCCAAACCGCAGTATACCTTAAAAACCGTTATCGCCCCATGCCTATATATAGAAGAAATGAAGACTTTAGGCATAACTGATGTTTAACATTAGTTGTCAACGTTTGAATGGCCATATAAGAAAGCATTGTGATTTCAGTGACGGGACTTTGGGGGCGAGATGAGTATTGATCTCTATCCAACTGGCCCGCAAAGTCCCGCTTCTGGGACTCACCCTCACAGCGTGACAAGAGTAACTACTCAAGTTAAACGTAATAAAGTATATTCAAACTCTGTTTAGCTTTTATTTGCAGTCCACATCCATCTGAATCTGAAGATTTTTTTTTATTATTAAAAATCCTAAAGTCTTTCAACTAAACCAAATTTTGCAGCTGCACAGCAAATTGAGGGGTGTTGAATTTCTGGTGTAAGCCACTGTAGTGTTATAGTGTTAAAAATCTAAGACATATACTTTTTTTTAACGCTGATGTGGGTTAAATTAAACACTTAAACACTCATTTTAGTAAGGCAACAGACAGGAGTTAAGTGACATTTAATATTATTATTATTATTATTATTATTATTATTACTATTATTATTATTATTATCATCATCATCATTCCAGGGTGTCAAAACATTCACTTTCCTTCGTGAATTTCATGTGGGGAAAATGTTAACTTTTACTTATGTCAGTTTAAAGAAAAATTAAATTTATGCTAAATATGACCTGGCAGTGGTGATAGAGTATTTAATCTAGTATACAGTTTTTGCACTCTTAGTGTAAAATTATTTACTTTGCTTTAGTGTTTATATTTAATCTTAAATTAAACACGGCATCGCCATCCTCCACCCCGCCTTAATGGCTGTGAGTGTTTTGCGCGTTGTTTATGCACTCTGTGCGCCTCGCGTTTTTGCCGTTGCGTGCTGTGTGCTCGCAGTTGAAATAAAAGTTAACCCTGAGTAAAAATAAATGGTTACGTCAGTCGGAAAAAAAACAGCCTATGCTGGTTCCTAAATAGGATTCAGTCAATGTTTTCGTTTTGTAATCTAAATTTGTAATTTAAGTAAAAAATATCCAGGGCAGGCCCGTTTATTTTATTCTTTTTATTTAGTTTATTCTTTATCTCTGTGCTGTTGAAAACACTGCAGGCATGTGAAGATGTTCTGTTGTTAATATGTTTGCATGTTAAAATAAATCTGTATTTTAATGTGCAATATTTAATGAGTCAGACACAAAACAGACACATCAATTATTTTTGATAATAAATAATAATTAATTTGACCAGTAAACTATTGATATTAAGTAAACAAGCAGTGGTTGTCGGTTGGCGAAATTACCCCGAAAGGAGCATTCCTACTTTAAAAGTATAACTCATTTAGAATTGATGAATTCCACACATTTATTTATAGCAAAAATTAAAAACACATACAAATTACTCTTAAAAGTTATCAAACCAAAATAAATATAAATAATAATTTTTTTTTATATGCATAAATATGCACTTTCAGATAATTAAATCATCAACATTTTATCATACACTCTCAGAAATAAAGGTACGCAAGCTGTCACTGGGGTGGTACTTTTTTAAAGGGTACAAATTTGTACCGTGCAGGTCCATATTAATACCTCAAGTATTAGTGCCTAAAAAGTACAAAAGTGTTCCTCTTAAATTTTTTTGGTACTAATAAATACTTTTGAGGTACCAATATGGACCCTATGAGTGCAAATGTGTACCTTTTGAAAGGGTACCACCCCAGTGACAGCTCGTGTACCTTTATTTCTGAGAGTGAAGAATGATTTGCCAGCATATGGTCAAGTTAATTTCAAAATTCAGCTTCAGAGGTGTGTTTGAAATGTTTGACTTTATAGATATTTGTACAATAAATATTTTTGGCTAAAAGTGCTCAATACATACCCGTGTCCAAATTGACCTGCTTAAAATCTCTTCAAAAGTAATTGTATTATAAATAAAATGTTTTATTACTAAACTCTATGCTCCTGTAGACATTTGTGTGTATCTCTTTAGAGTCAAACCAGACTTGAATGTGCTGAATGTTGAGTGTTAAATAGGTTTTTCCCGATCAACTATATCAATCACGTGTATTGAAGTATTAAGTTAGATTACATCACATTGACATGTTTGTGCCTGATGATTGTGAGGCAAATGGTTTTACTGCATGAAAGTTCTGTATAAACATGTTCAATCACAGTTAAGAAATAAACACTGTGTTGCGAATGTGCGTAAACCTGAAATTGCACTCAAGTCTAAATGTAAATCCGCAGGGAGAATGAGGGGCTTTTGGGGGCACTTGTGTTTCAGTTTCACCATCATAATGCCCCTAAAAATCCTTATTGCTCTTGCACTGATCCCCACACATGTTTTAGATGTCTGCACGCAGGTTTTGTGAATCCATAGTCTGCCTTTATTGCAGATTAATGTTGGGTTTAACCTAAAAAATAAGTTATTACGAGAAGAATATGTCAATTTGAATTTTGAAACAGAAGTTGTAGTCTTTTCCTCCATTTTGTATCTGAAGCAGCTAAGCAAATAAGAAAGAATGTTGGATATAAGACTTGGGTTCGTCAATCAGCAATTGTTTGAATTGTTGAATGGTTGTGGCTTGCTATTGGTGGATCTCATTTGAGTGACAGTTTGTCCCACTCCCTCACACCTGTAAAAGCCAAATATATCATTAGCACCTATACATAAACTGTCATCCATGTTGGAACAGTCAGTGCTGCTACAACGCTATCTGAATTTATCTTCATTAGAATTAGCCACTAAATTGGTGGCGAAGGTTGCTGGTTCGAGCCTCGGCTAGGTCAGTTGGTATTTCTGTGTGGAGTTTGCATGTTCTCCCCATGTTGGTGTGGGTTTTTTCTTAGGAGCTGAGGTTTCCACCACAGACCAAAGACATGTGGTATGGGTGAATTGGGTTAGCTAAATTGTCCGTAGTATATGTGTGTGAATTAGAGTGTATGGGTGTTTCCAAGTGATGGGTTGCAGCTTGAAGGGCATCCGCTGTGCAAAACATGTTGGTGGTTCATTCCGCTGTGGCGACCCATGATTAATAACTCTTATATAGCAGTCCCACAACATACTTTCACGTATGGCACTGGAATACCCTGTCAGAAAGATCTAGTTGCTGGGATTTAGCTTTTACCGTGTCTGGTATATTTTAATGTTGTTTTCATATAGATGACTTCTAGATTATATCCTTATGATAACATGATATAATTGCCTTCAGTGATTTCCAGAAGATAAACAAAAATATAGAATTGGGATTGAGACTTAGTCGCTGCCATTAATTTCAGCAGGTACAGTGTGAAAATTCTAATGGCAGATGGCTGCTTCCAACTCAGGGCTGTTTATACAAATAAGCGAGAGCTCATCACTAATGGGTGTGGCTTTTCCTCTGTGATGACACGAGAATCTCAATCAAAGTGTTTCTGCAAACTGTTTTGTTGAAGTGTGATTATAAAAATAATATTAATAATATTTTACTAATAGAGACTGGCTATACTTACATACTGCTGCCAGACAACTGCGTTTAAAGCCACTCGTTTTGTGGTCCAGGGTCACATAATCACAACTGAACACATTCTCAGATTTCAACGTTTTCTTTAAATCTCGGTGGTTTTAAAACCAAAGGTAACTGTTCCAAGATGGCGGACACATCAGCATTCACAGGGCTCAACAATACGGACTGCCCGATGGCCCGGGGCCAGCGTGTGAGATACAGCATACAGCATCGTTACTGGCCCGATCGGGCCACTGATGCCCTGTCACTAAAGTTTAATTTGCCTGTGACTATTTGACTATTTGTCAATTGCGTGCAAATACAGACAGAAACCGTTTTTTGTGTTTTAAGTGTTTACAAACCTTTAAATGCTGACTTCTCGGTTCCTCTTATCTGATTGGATGTTGTAAGCATGCTATTTTTTTCTGTAACAACCAGTACTGCAAAGAGACAGCAACAAGGTGGCAACATCAAGTGATGATGCTAAAAGAAAACGTTTGATTCCAACGTCTTGGAAGCAGACATTTACGAGGGTACACCACGACTAAAAAAAAGAAGAGATGTTTTGTAAAGTTTGCCATCAGTTTGGCAGGTCAGCCATTTTTTGTTTTGCAATAAAATACCTGCACAGTTTGCTACTTTTGTTTGCAAAACACTTAAAATGTTGCTCATTATACATTTATTATCATCTTTTAAATATTTAAATTCTAGATTCACAAACATTTTGACACATTTTTTTAAAATTTGTGGCTAAGAAATAGCTATTAACTTTTTTTTTGGTGGGGCCAGTGAAAATATTGGCAGGGCAAATAACCACTGGTCCAATCGGGCCAGTAGAAAAAATCCTTAGCATTGAACCCTGATTCATTCATTCATTTTCTTAGGATTAGTCCCTTTATTAATCTGGGGTCACCACAGCAGAATGAACTGCCAACTTCAGCATATGTTTCATGCAGCGGATCCCCTTTCAGCCGCAACCCATCTCTGGGAAACATCCATACACACTCATTCTCACGTATACTCTACGGACAATTAAGCCTACCCAATTCACCTGTACAATATGTTTTTGGACTGTGGGGGAAACTGGAGCACCCGAAGGAAACCCACGCGAATGTGAAGAGAACATGCAAACTCCACACAGAAACGCCAACTGACCCAGCCAAGGCTCGAACCAGCGACTTTCCTACTGTGAGGCGACAGCTTTACCTACTTCGCCACTGCATCGCCCACACATCAGCATATCTTGTGCAATCAAATATTACAACAAAAGAGATGTTAGAGAGTTATTTAAATGAACAGAGTATGTAAGTAGCGAAGTGGACAAATGATTTCATAATAGACCCGGTAAATAAATACATTATTTATTTGTGGATGCCTCGCATTATATCTGGTGCTCAATTATGTTGTGCTGCACCGAAGGCGCTTCACTAAACGCCTGAAGCATCTGCTGCATCTACTCAAGCGTTCTGTCAGCCAGCCGACGATGGCAACAATCCGGTTTCATTCGCAGTCTCCATTTTATGTCATGCACAGTTTGATCTTCTCGCTGCAACATATAGCAGGGCCCCGTCCCCTGAGGGCCGCTCAAACAGACGAGCACCAGTGGAATTTCTACAGTCCGAGCTCATGCAAATCATTTGTCTGTCGGTGGTGAACGGATAGGAGTTTGCCACCCCAAAGGGTTCATTCACGTCAGACGCCAGTCATGATTTAATTACAAAACTCTGCCCAAAGCTACTGCTGACAAGAATAAGCGGAGAGATGAGAGCAGTAGACGCTGATATGCACTTAACGTAAACAGTATGGGCGCTTTGCGTTTTTAAGTCAAATTACAGAAGACCAAATGTCAAAAACATATCAGAAAATAAGCAATAGCAACTCTCATTAGTGTGTCTTCTTGGTGATCTTTCAGTGCGCTCTAAAACATATCATGCCATGTTATTATAGGAACAAGGGGTCTATTGCTAGTTGAGGGAACAGGATGTGATTCCAAGAATGTGAAGAGCCTAATGCCACATGTGAGTTGGGGATAGTTTTGTTACGACTTGCCAAACTGCTATACTTGGGAATATGTATGCTTTCACATCCTCTGTTCATTTTAGTCATCTTTAATGGAATAAATTAATCAGAAATGCTATATAATGCAGGGTTCAACACAATTCATTCATGTTGTCCCAACACAAATCAAGTAAGTTAACAGCAAATTCAAGTGGACTGAATTTAAAACAATTAAGTTTCCCAAACAAATGTCTAGAATAGTTTTTTCAGCTCATTTTAAATAAACAAGCAGCAAAAAACAAACATTTTTATAGTGTACGCTGCAAAAAAATGACCATCTAAATACAGAAAAATAAATGAACGATTTAAGGAGATACAGGCTGGAAACAAGTCAAAGTATTTGCCAGTGCAGTAAGGTCATTATTCTTGGTAAGATTTCTTGAAATAAGTAAACTTTCCTAGGCTTTGGTTAAGAAAAATGTCTTAAGTATTATAATGCCGCGGTGACACTAGAGTTTGAGCGTGCGAAATACTGTCGTATGGTGTTGCAAAAAGGGGCGGGATTAAACAAATTGATTAGATATTAATAGAAGAGAGCGATTGGTCCATATTTCACTGAGGTCATGTTTTGATCTTCGATTGATCTCACGCTGTCACATGATGTCATTTCGCTGGACAGAATTCACCAAGCTTGAACTTTGGAACGCAGCAACACGCAAAACTTGTTGCATGAGCTTGCGTTTCTGGTCTGCTGCATTCATATGCATATTAATAGAAGTCTATGGGGTGAAAAGTGTAGTGTGACCACCTCTTAACACTTATTCCAAGCTGTGTATTCAATCTAATTGTCTCAAAACTGGCAGGTTAATTACCTTTTAAACAGTTTGCTTTTCTCATTTTGTGTGAAATGGTCTGAAATGGGAAAAAAAGGACCATCTAAATACGAGAAGTAAATGAACGATTTAGGGAGATACAGGCTGGAAACAAGTATTTGCCTGTGCCGTAAGGTCATTATTCTTGGTAAGATTTCTTGAAATAAAATTGATCTAGGCTTTAATAAAGAAAAAATGTCTTAAAATAATTATTATAATGCTGCGGTCACACTAGAGTTTGAGCTTGCAAAATTCTGTCGACATCAAAAAAGAGAGCGATTGATTGGTCCATAATAACTTCTGTACACTAAGGTCATGTTTTGATCTTCGATTGGTCTCACGCAGTCACATGATGCCATTTCGCAGACCAGAATTCACCAAGCTTTAACATTCCAATGCAACACCATATGTAACTTGTCACATGAGCTTCCAGTCTGCCGCATTCACATGCAAATGAATGGGAGTCTATGGGGCGAAAAGTGCAGTGTTACCATTGCTTAATGCTTATTCCAAGCAGTGTATTTAGTCTAATTATCTCAAAATTACTTTTTAAACAGTTTGCTTTTCTTTTTTTGTGTGAAATGGTCTTAAACCAGTGCTCCGGTTTCCCCCATAAGTCCAAAGACATTTGCTATAGGTGAATTGGGTTAGCTAAATTGTCTGTAGTGCATGTGTGTAAATGGAAGTGTATGGGTGTTTCCCAGTCATGGGTTACAGCTGGAAGGGCATCTGCTGCATAAAGCATATGCTGGATAAGTTGGCGGTTCATTCCGCTGTGGCGACCCCAGATTAATAAAGAGACTAAGCTGAAAAGAAAATGAATGAATGAATCAATGTACAAATTAAATCAGGATCACACATACTGTACATGCATATTGTCCGCAATATGTTTATTCAAATTAAGTCTTGATGGTCAAAAATATTGTATTTTGCTACTAAAGAACATGTGTAAGTGTCATTGATCATTTTTCTGCT